GTCTATGTTATTTCTTCTTCACACACAAAATCCCTCTTCACTTCCCTTCTTGGGAATAGCTCCAGCCCTGGGGAAGACCCTGGGACTGTCAGGTTTAGAAATAGGCAGGGATCTAACTCCAGAGGTGTGGGAGCGTCAGCCAGTCCCCCAGAGTGCACAGATCCTGGGAACTCCTTGTGAGAGCGTAACAATTCCCCTCTCCTCCCCAGACGTCTGACTCTCCCAAGGGGGCTCAGTGACCATATTCCCATCCCGTTGGATTCCATGTTCCCCCAGCAGAGCACGGGGACAGGTTCCACTCATGGAACGTCCTATGTGACAGACACTCTCTCAATCCTCCATGCACCCTGATCTGGTCTGATTTCACCCCCTGCACAGGATTTTCCATTCCCAAACCTGATCTGATCGCCCGGATGGAACGAGGGGAAGAGCCATGGGTACCCGATCTCCAGGCTGCTAAGGAAAGAGAGATCCTGAGAGGTGCCCACACAGGTGAGGACTGACACAGAAACCACCTGGTGAATGAAGGAAAAATATGATGTGAGTAAGAGCCCTCTGTTCTTCCTCATCTCAGCCAGCGCAGCGCTGTAGTCAGCAGATATCACTCACGGCTTTCCACCCGTCCTGTTAGCTGCAGGAGTTTCCTTCCCGTCTCTCCTTCCCTGTGAGTGTTTGTGTGGGATGTGGAGGCAGAATCCAATTGTTCAGTCTTCACAGCGTTAGCATGTTGCGTTTTCCCGCTGTGCTATTCCTCTTTCTCCCCAGCACAATGGCTCCTGTCTGGATTGTGTCTCTCCCAGCAGGTGCTGAGCGAGGGAGTGAGAATGAGGCGGGGAATCATCATGAGGAAATTCCTGGGGAAGTGGAACCACAAGGGACCTTTATGGGAAGAGCTGAAGGAAATTTATCCCAGTGCTTGGAACAGGGAGAAGCCTGGGGAAATTGGCACAGGTCAGAGAGGCTGCTGGGAAACTACCCAAGGGAGCAAGTAGGTGAATCTATTAAATGTAGGGGAGGAGACAAGGATCCCAAAGCCCAGCAAACAGACCCCAGGGAAGAGAAACCCTACCACTGCCTCAAATGTGGGAAAAGATTCATTGTGAGACCACACCATCTTACACTTCAGACAATCCATATTGGAGAGAAACCACTTCAATTCTTGGACTATGGGGAAAGCTTC